TTTTTTTGTTAAAAATTATTGTTATAAATAAATAATTTTCAAGATTGATGTTTTCTTTCGAGTAGAGGTTTGAAGATTCGAAGTGAAATCGTTGTTCCCTACAAATTCTTACATATATTTGACTTTGTTGTTTTTGGGAAGAGAATCAAAGTACGCTATTTTCCAAATGAGAATTCAGCATAGGCATGCCCGGAAGTTGTACAATATTCTTTAAATTGACGGGAAATTTATACTATCGTGATAAACACGTTCTGATTCGTATCATAATTAAATAAGTCAAATTTCAATACCAAAAATGCCATAAAGAGAACGCTTTCACAAATTGCCTTCAAGGAAAAAAATTTCATAAAGAGAGCCAGACAGTACAGACTAGAGAGGAAGAAACACAGAAGACTCAAAAGAGCTTCTGACAAATAATTCTTCTTTTTTTTCAAGATTAAGGCCCATATAACAAATGAAAGGGCCTGTAAAGAACCCATAAACTGGCCTTTATCACAAAGATCCAAGTAGTATCTTTTTATCCATGATTATTAGATTATGATGGGCCCATGAAAATGGAGGCTGGTCCAGCAGTATCTTTTAGGTTTTGTAATTGGATGATCTTAAGAACGCAAAGAAAATGACAGCTTGAGACAGAAATTTACGAGTGCAGTGATTCCTCAAAAAAGAAAAAAAAATTTACAAGTGCAGTGATTTCATGCTTATTGACATTGAGGAAGAATACTCAGAACTTCCATACAAAAACGCCAGAGTTTCAACATTCTCAGTATAATCTTTCTTCATGTAAGAAATTGTTTGTATAGATGATCCATTTCCCTCCATTTTCAGAACAACAGATCTAAATCTCTAAAAACTATGTGTAAGTAACCTCTATTTTTTTAAATGAACAGAATGACAGATCTAAATCTCTAAAAACGAGAGTCATGTTAAACAAAAATTAGAGATTAATGAACGGAAAACCAAGCAGATATTTAAGTATTTATCAGATCACTCTTTTTCCCTGTTTCCTCTTGCTGCCCTTTCCGATTTTCTGTTAATTATCATTTCTTAAAATATCTCCACTGCTTTGAATGACCATCATGCCCCTCTCTCGACTCTTTCATAATGTTTTTTTTTTAATATTTTATATTTTTTATAGGGATTTTTTATTTTGTGCCAAGGGTAAAAGATAAGGGTATAATAAATATATCTTTTTATAATTAATGTATATAGAAAATAATAAAAACTAATTTAAATTTAATTAATTGACTAATTAAAATTATTTAC